ACTGAAACAGTTTCACCACATTGTTGTTCTTGCTGTACATTCTTGTCATCTATACGTTTGATAAGAATAGTACACTTGTATGATTTATCAGTTTCCTTTCTGAAATACTTTGCGAATTCCATCTCGGCCAATTTGTGTAACAGTCAATGGAATGACAAGACAATGCAACTGACAAGAGGGTTCACTTCTCCTACGCTAAGGAAACGAGAGTTGTCATTCAGTTGCGGATAACAAACAAGTATGCAAATGAAATTATCGCGGCCGGAAAAATGATCGAGGTCATTTTTTTTATCGTGCGATTAATCGATTTATTGACTATCGCGACAGGCCTAGGGACAGCGGCCCATTGGTTCATTTTCCATACTGCATCTTCCATCTCTTAACAGGCTCCACCCCTCCCCCTCTGTTTCTTGTGTCAGATGCAGTCAGTGGCTCAGAGCCAGAAATCAGTGGATTTAGGATGGAGAAGCAAAAGCGCAAGGGGGGTGCGGAGAAGTTGCGGGCCAAAAAAATGACCGCAAGGATGGTGTACTTGTTGGTTGTGTCTGACCGATTGTGGTGGGCCGGTCTGAGCAAAAATGCCAGGGCCCTTTTTTTGTCCCAGTCCAGCCCTGGAGTGAGACCTCAAGCTGCTGAGCTCTGAATATACTGAAGCTTTTGTATAGATTCTGCAGGGAGGCCAATGAAAAGGGAACTGCAGTAATCAATATGGGACAGTATTAAAGCATGAACCAGAGTTTGGGCATCAGTACTGGACAGAAATGGGCATAGACAAGCGATGATATGGAGGGGAAAGGATGCAGTTTTGGAGAGGAATTTTATATGAAGATCAAAGTTAAGTGAGTAGTCAAATAGTACAGTAAGATTTCTGATAAATGTAGCAGGTTTTACAGGGACACCATCAAAACAAACAGGGAAACTGGGGGATTTAGATACTAATGATTTCACACTGACCAGTAAGACTTCAGTTTTGGCTGTGTTAAGTGTGAGACAGTTGTCCTGCATCCAAAGCTTAAATCTGCGATGCAGCCATTAAGTGTTTTGGGAGGGGAGTCAGTGGAGGAGTGTGTACTGAGATATAACTGAATATCATCAGCATAGCAGTGATCATTAAGGCCATATCTGCAAATGATCTGACCAAAGGGCAGGATGTAGATTAGGAAGAGGAGGGACTGGAATGGCTGGTATAGTGTGTCACCATTAAGAAAGGCATGTAGCTGTGTGGCTACAACTCTTTCCATTACTTTAGCCAGAAAAGGAAGATTTGAGGACTACAGCTTGAGAGAGATGATTGATCAAACTCAGGTTTATTGAGGATAGGAGTAACTGCAGCAGTTTTGAGAGAAAAGGGGACAGAACAGGAAGAGAGAGTGTTTATCAGTGATGCAATTGGAGAATTGATTATAGAAGAACCTGTTCTAAGTAGAGGTGTAGGCAGGGGCGTCGTAGTGGGGGGAAAAAGGGGACTGAGTTACCAGGGCCCCATGTGGGGGGAGGGCCCCTAAGGAATCTGGAATTTTATTTTNATCTGAGGATGGCTGTAGATCATTAAACTTTGCAAGGATTGTTAGCTAATGTTACAGAGCATGTGGTTAAATCTGGTTCTACTTTCTGTCTATAGATAAAAGCAAACAGGCTCTGTTGAGTCACTGTTCACATGTCACAGCTCCACAAATCATGGTTTCCGCTGCATTCATCCTGTGGGGTGTAATTGAAGGTGAGTCCATTGAATATGGTTTAAAGAAGCTTTACAAAGAGACAGATTTTATTGTTTTTGTTGTGCAGGCAGTAAGAAATAAACAGCAGCAGCAGAAACAGCCACCTGCTGGGGATTAATTATATAAATTAGTGACTCTGTAATTTCAGGCTGATACTTAGTATTTGTAATTTATACTGTGGTGATTAATTTTTATGGTGAATAAGTTTCCTTCATAAATTAACTCATAGTTATTTATAGTTTGATATGTATTTCCTAAAAGATTATTTTATTGACACTGTGAGTCTGTGCAGGATCATGCAGGTCTGATTTTGTTCACTCAAAATGAGCATCTGCTTTTCTGGATTACCTGCAAGAACAGGGAGATCATTAAACACACTGTGATGAAATAAAGATGTATTCACAACAGCAGAGGCAGCGCCCCCTGGTGACTAATTATAGAATTTTAGATGTTAGCAGTCAGTAATGAAGTAACAGGTAACATGAAATCCAATGTAAAGTTCAGCAGAGTAAAAGGAAGGAAGTTATGAGAAGCTAAGAACTTTAAACAGGAAAAACGGGGATCCTAGTGCTGCATTCGGAACTGGGGAACAATTATATGGCTCCCAACATAAATACTGTAAGAGGAGAGGATTCCTTTGGGGGTTTGGCTCAGTGGGTTAGGATGTTTCACCTGCATTTGGAGGGTCGCATGTTCAAATCTCAGACTCAACAGAGTGATTTTACACATGAGCCTCTCAGCAAGGACCTGAACCCCCAACTGCTCCCAGTATTTTCTGACCCTGCTTGACTCTGCTAAATAAATAAAACTTACTTTTAACTGTTTCCCAGGATCCACAGAAGAGGCTGTTACTTGTCCTGTCATCAGTCTGCTGAATATCCTGCTGTTGATCAATATAGCTCCATATCGGAAATCAATCACAGGTATGTTTACATATTTCCATGTTTCCTGTCCTGTTTCCTACACTTCATATTAAAGGACGTTGTCACTGTTTGGGGAAAAAAAACTGTAAAATAAAGACAGGTGTTTATAGTTAGTTTGACCGTGACAG